AACTTTGTATATTTTATGCAGAGTTTTCCCCAAATGGCAATTATTAATCGTTACGTAGTAGAAGTACGTATTGATATCTGATATCAGATATGTATAAAAAAGTTAGGTACAATTTAACTATGTGATTTTTATATCGATATAAGTATATTATAACAAAAAAGATGCCCAACTCTAACCGTACGTATTGTAATTCAAAGTATATTTTGGGAAAGCTGATCGGCTTAAATTCAATATTTTAATATTGAAAACCCTGAATATATTAAAAATATTGGATTTGAAATAGATTATATAAAAAAAGACTTTAATAATTAAATATTAAGGTGACTTGATATATATTTGATTTACTTACCCCTGGATAGTGTACGCAGTATACTCAGGAGGTATAGATGGTAAGAGACCCCGGGTACTCTCCATGACGAAATACGGTTTACTGTGTAAATGCACTATGTTATATAAACTGTATGAAAAAAAAACGATTTATGAATTATAATATATGTACATATGTTCTAATATTTGTTCAGAGGGTCGTTACTTCGTCCATTGCTCTCTACTCATACAACGTTTCACGAGATAGCATATTGAAATACAAGATAATGATGTAAACTTTCCATTTTTATTTCCAACTCCCGCATCACACAACTCCGGTCATGTTCTAATGACTGTTTCCCGTTCCAGTGCCCGTGAACCCAGAGTTTTGAGTCCGACTGTATATATTACCAATTGTCATACGTACAAAACCCAAACAAAAGATGTATTAGCACATGCTACGGAATATGCGAAGGGTGGTGTCATAGTTTCGTCAAATGCTGAATCCGGTGATTTTGCCGTAACATTCCGATGTTATAATTTGCAAACGTGTCGAAAGTGCACCACTATATATTACCTAGTTTGGATAAATTTTACATTGCAGAAAAAGGGGGTATATCGATAGTAATTACGTACGTAATTCATGTGGTTATTCAAATCTGGACCCAAACCAGTTTTGCTAGATTTCATTCCGATCATTTTGTAGAGAACAATAGTAATGCGAATATATTCGATTGCTTAATATTCAATTAAGGAAATCGACAATGAGAATTACTAAAAATTTTTGTCGTGTGAAAAATTATGTAATTACATATACTACGCGTTAATTCGATTTTTACGCGTCAAAAAAAAACATCACAAAGCTATATAAGAGCATCTTTTTTTCCCTCTTGCTACTTCATTATTTTCATCAATTTTCTCTTAAACTTTTATACAACACATAATAATACGAAATCTAAAACGAAAATACAACTTGGACGAAAATACAACCTGGACGAAAATACAACCTGGACGAAAATACAACCTAAACGAAAATACAACCTGGATGAAAATACAACTTGGACGAAAATACAAACACAAACAGACGGCAATACTTAAACACAAACATAAATACTTGGACGGAAATACTTGGATATGAATGCTTAAACAGGTATACTCGAACTCTAGAGTATAAATTGAGTTAAAGCTACCTTGATGAAATACGAAAGTATT